CCAATCTGTTGGAGTAGACAAATCAATGCACTCGTTATCGTTGTTTGCAGAAGTGGAAACTGCAAAATTACTAGGATCCGTTGGTGGCAATAAATCAGATAGAGAAGAAAAACATGGAGCCGTCAAATCCAAGTAAATGTCGTCATCATATTTTGCAGATGAAGAGCAACCCACATCACCATTAATGAGAGTAATAGGTTGATACTGATCATTGCTTTCCATTGCCGTACAATTACTAGGCATGTTTGTAATTGTACCAGATGGAAACGAAGGATTATATTGACCAGGAACACATGCAAGAGTCTGAGGAGATGGAAGCAAAGAATATTGAATATTCTTTTGCATTGTCATATGATCACCATGCATATAAGTAAGAGTCGGATTACTGGGCTCGACCGGTGGATTTTGATCATCATTGCTTTGCCCGGCTGTATTTGCTCGAGGGTGGGGAAAATATGCACCTTGCGAGAATGGTTGATCAAATGGTGACGGCAGAGGATTTTGATTCGACGTTACTGCCAGATTTCCAGGAGCGACATGAGCCGTGTTATTGTCTTGAATTGGAATCAAGTTTTCTTGTCTATCCTGTTCTTCATTTTTGCTTGTTTTTGATGTTCTGTAGTAAATTCTACATACACACGTATCCAGCTGCAAGAAAATATAAAACAAATTAGTGTAACAAACATATAAAACTTTACAATCATGCTTGGTGTATAATCATGAATGACGATCTTGTTTACAATATGTGATGTGGCAAACTATCATTGGATAGTTTAAAAAATAACTTGTTTTTGCAACTAATAATTTTTTGACAACTCATACATTGTCATCCACAATTGTACAAATAGATTAATCCAAAAACTTATTTTTGTCAAACGGGATACAAAAAAGCCCTAGTGTTTCAAGTAATTCCAAACAACAGTAAAATATAAACCCAATTAATTAATCAAAGAATATGAAAATTGTTACATACCATCTTGTCATCTGGAATAGGGTTTCTAGAAGATCTTGCAACATCCTTCATTCGATGAATCGTAAATTCATGCATTATCCAATTAGTCTTTTGATTCTTAGATTTGCCTTCATAATACACAAGCACTTTTTTGCGTCCAACCTCTTGGCCCTTGCTTCGGACAATGACATCACCTACGGTGGCTTTCCAATAACCATTAGCTGCTGTTCGGTTTGGCCGGCCACCATTATTATACCTCCTAGCCCTCGAGGTAAAAAAGTACCACTCTTTTGTTCCATGCATTCTACTGTTTCCTGTACCCAATTAAGATGTTAATTAAATTTAACTGTACTCAACCGATATCTAGTTAAACGATAATTTTCATAAACAAAAACATAATTCACGAAAGACCTAGGCAACGTTGGTTTTGGGATTGAATATCTTTTTATTGGAATTCTGAAGTCCATCCCATCGTATAAAGTTTCAACGAATAAATCCAATACATATATTTAAATAAAACTCAAATAATATGTCCTTCATGTCCAGAAGCAGCCATGCATAGAAAACGTTTTGTCGATCAAGAATTTCTGGTGATCATATTATAAATTCCAACAAATGAAGTTCTAATGGGGAAGAAAATATAAAAAGAACCATCAAGAAACATCAAGAAATGATTAAACTTACGGCAAAGATCGTGGGGATGGTACTTGTAGAGCTCGACATCTATTATAGCATCGGTCGGCACAGGTTTGTTGAGAATCTTGAGGTTCAAGTAGTACAATAGATCCTTATCAGTCGGAACGAATCGGTAACCGAGCGGAAGATTCTTGTGGTCATAAAAATGCGAACCCTCTTCTTGTGCGGCCATGACAA